AACTATAAATTACGAGAATTATCGACCTAATAGATTTTTACAAAATAAAACGTAATCTGGTTTGATTAAATTAATTTAATACCAACAGTTAATTCAAAAAAATGATTTTATTTCTCTTAATATGTGAGACCAACTCATTCCGAGTCACAACTAACAACATAATAAAATATTTTATTCAAATATTTGACGACCGCAATATAAAAGATTCCGTAACAAAGTTATAGGAACGGACGCAAAATAAAATTATCAAATGCTTCATCATCAGAAGATTGCTCTCTACACAAAAATAATCATTTTCACTAGTTCTGCATCAACTCCAAGTACCCAATTTATATCTTGGAGCTGTTGCTAAGGTTCTCTTTATTTTAAAATGCCTTACTTTGTTTCTCCGGTAAGAAAAATACATCATTGATCAAAATTCTTCATTTTGTTTCGGTTCCGAAATAGACGATACTAAAAAAACAGAGATTAATCAGGCGGTCGATTCCTTCAGATAAGCAATGAGGTCAGCATGATCCTGTGGCTTCTTCAATCCAGGGAAAACTATCTTTGTCCCGGAAATATACCGCACAAAACAAATTGTACCAATGAAATTCCATTATCAACGAAAGAAATGTTAGTGATGTGAAAGTGAGATTATCAAAGCTGAGGTAGCATTGATATATGTACAAGACGTAGCTAGGATTGAACTATGAGGGCTAGGTTGTTTAATTTTGAAACGAACAGGGCCCTAAAAAGTAATTAATCCATAAAAAATGAGGAAGTCAGGCTTGATTTCATTAATTTTAAAACTAACAGGGTCCTAAAAAATAATTGAACCAGAAAAAAAGGGGAAGGGTTAGAGCTTAAGTTCAATGGTTTTAAAACTATCAGTGGCTTAAAATGCAATTAAACCATCAAAGTTGAGGGAGGCTCCCACTTGCAACGTGGCTCTGTCGCTGTATATCTACTTCATAGATCATACTTCATACTAATCTAAACCCAGTCAATTGAACCAAAAGCAAAATGCAACCATAGTAATGCCAATGGCAGATGCAACGCACCAATCAGTAATCAGATAAAATGAGACTATTGAGAACACATAGCTATAGCAGGAGAAATCGACATTAACAATTAACAACTACTGTACCATATGATAACGATCTTTTAAGAGATCATATTCTTAGCTGTAAAAAAAGGAGATAATTTCTCGAAAACAATAGTATGTTCCTCCTTTGTAAATAAACAACATTCTCACCACTTTAAATCCTATACTTTAAACCGGATTAAAAGAACATTTATTACTTTTATCTTTTAAATACATTTATAATATATAATAATTATTTCTGGCAGCATAGATATAGCATGAAATTTTAATCTAAACCTAAACAGATAAGCTGAATTAACTCATCGACGAAATCGAAAAAAGACTTGGCCTATGGAAAACCGGTTCAATTAAGCCTTGACTCGATCAATAGTTGAATAGAGCATGAGATTGAACAATTAGAAGAAAAGTCATCATATCTAAAATTAGAAGAGGAAAAGGAAAACAACCCAATAATAAAAATCCTTATTGAAAGCTAAACCCTTTACGATCAGTTTCTTCTTTACCACAAAATTGATATTCACCGCAACCAAACTCAGTTTCCTTGTCTACATTTTGTTTAGGGTCCATAAACATGTGTGGTAGGAGATCTCATTGGCCAGCCAACAAGAGCCGACGATCCTGGTAGGCTTCCGTCCCGGCTAGGGTTGCACAAAAGTCGGATTTCAATCTGATCCGGTTTTTTCCCATAGAAAAAAAACCGATTTTAAAATAACCGGTTCGATTTCTAACAGGTTTGGAGGGCCGGATATCCTAACCGGTGTAACCGGTTTCGGTTTTAAAAAAACTGGTTTTTTTAAAAAACCAGTTATAAAAAAAACCGATTTTAATATTATTAAAATTACATCGTTATCAATTGCAACAAAGTTTACGATAATTTGTTGAAAACATTTTGATATTTCGATATAACAAATTAAGTTAAATGAATTTTAAGATTTTCCAAATGATTTTCTAAGTATATTCGATATAATTATTCGAATATCAAAACATTACTCCAAATATTTCAAAAATCATTTTTAATCATTACATAAGTGTAAAATTAAGTTTTAATCATAAAACAATTTCAAATAATCTTTCAAAGTATTTCGAACCATTTCAAAGCAAAAAATTCCTCAGAGGGAACCGATTCCCCCCCCGAGGGTACCGATTCCCCCTGAATGGTTTGGCTCCGAGATTTCTAGAATGCTCGGAGGGAACCGATTCCCCCATAGGGGGTACCGATTCCCCCTATTCAACGGTCGAAATATTTGAATTTTACACTTAGGGAACCGATTCCCTATGAGAGGATACCGATTCCCCCCACGCTCCAAGCATTTTTATTAAATGTTTTCACACTTAAACGGCTATATTATCTTCATTAATTATCCCTAACGTTCAGAAGTGATTCAAGGTGTATTTAAGCAAGTTTAGAAGCCATTGATCAAAGACAAGTTCGATAATTGAAACAAAGTTTACGATAATTGAAATAAAGTTTAAAAATAAACTACATTGCCATCTCTTCTTCATCATCTTCACCTTCTTCGTTTGGAGGGGATATTCCAAGTTCGACTTCTTCAATGTGTAAGTTTGCTTCCAAATCGACATCAATTGCATCTTCTAGGGTAGTGATATGTTGCTTACAAGCCGCTCCATCCAAATAATCCTTTAAACAAATGCATACTTCCACCGACTCGGGACTTAGTCTTGATCTCTGTTGCGATATAACCCTGCCACTAACAGAAAAAGCGGATTCCGAAGCTACCGTAGAAGCTTGGACGGTTAGTAAATCACGGGCCATGGCGGCTAGAATCGAAAATTGTGCTCTTTTTCTTTCCACCAAGCCAAAATATCCAAACTTTCAAACTCTTCAAATGTCATTTTTGATAGAAAATCGCATGGCATGTAATTTCCCAACTCGCTACTTGGGGTGGTAGTACGTGATCGTTTGGATTGGGAATTTACAAGAGTGTTAAAAAGATTCAAATTTATGTTACTTGGACGTCTACTAGATGATTTCGCATTCATTCTCATTTGATCGTGTATTACACTACTTAATCCGTATTTAGTTAAATAAATTGCAAACATGTCTCGAAAACATTTGTTAAAATAATTTATTTGGTTTTGGACAAAGTTGAGTTCATCATCGGTTAGATTAAAAGCAAACGCAATTTGTTCAATTAGTGTTTCAACCCCGCCAACATTTAACGTTGGGTTTAAAGCGGCGGCACAAGTAAAAACGGGGGAAATCTCCTTAAAATATTTTAAAAGTTTTTCCTTCATTGCAAAGTCAATTTCTTGAAAAACTTTGGTTTCAAATTCAAAGTCATCTAGTCGGGTAGCCAACAAAAATATTTAATTAAGAACCAACGGGCTAGTAGGGTAATAAACACCGGATAAAAAAGTTGTTGTACTTTTAAAAACCCCAAGCAAATCAGTTATTTTGGCTATAGTTTCCCAACTCGAATCCGGATAAATGTTTGGGACATGACCCCTCTCGAAAAGCCGATCGTGAAATGTTTGCAATGTTTCCCTTTGCCTTAAGGCAGTATGTATCATCATCCAAGTTGAGTTCCAACGAGTTGGACAATCCAAATTAGGACCCAAAGCTTTTTTATTAACGGACTTATAAAATCGTTTATAATCATTTAGTCTTTTGTTGTTGTTACAAAGAACCGATTTTATTATTGTTTTAAATTCTAATCTAATCGGCTCAATAACCTCCAAACCGACTTACACGGATAAATTAATTATGTGTGCAACGCAACGGGTATGAAAAAACGCACCGTCTAAAATCGGTGAAAGTAATATTTTCAATCTTGAAACCGCGTTTGTATTATTCGATGCATTATCAAAGGATATAGAAAAAACTTTATTTTCTAATTTATAAAGACAAATTACCCTTTTTAAAAGTGTAAATAAATTAGCACCAGTATGCGGCTCACCAAATAATTCAAACGCGATTGTTCTTTTCATCATTTGCCAATTATCTTGATCTAACCAATGTGACGTAACGGCTAAAAAAGAATTTCCGGTATTATGAAGGAAACTCCAAACGTCACATGTAAGCGACACACAATAACGGTGTTCTTGGAATCCTAAAATCATTTTTTCCCTCGCCGTACGCCACATTTTTATAGCATCTCTTCTAAGGGTAGTACGACTTACTTGAGTATAACGTGGTTGATTTAGTTGTTGAATTGTTGTCGTGAAATCTTCATCATCAAAGTGGTCGAACGGCAATGCTTTTGTAATCACGAACTTTGTAAACGCTTCTCGTAATTTTTCGTTGTCGTAAACAAAAACACCACCTTGCGGTGTAAGATTCGATTAACTAGGATCCGATCTTGAGCGAAGTGCCTTGCATGATTTTGTCAAATGGTTCTTCAACGTTGTGTTTCCTTTCGATGCAAGAAACTTTAGACAAAGTTTACAACGCGCCCTCCTCAAGCCATTTGACATCTCACATAAATCGTAGTGATCCCAAATATCTTTGTTTCGAATGTGTTCGATCACTCTCACAACTTCAAGGTTTTCCCCGACGGAAGATTCAGCCGTGTTACTCATGATGAACAAAAAATTACAAAAATAAGATTTGAGAGATGTTTAGGTATTGTGTAATAAGATTTGAGAAAGTTGTAATCAACCAAATACATCCCCAACCTATTTATACATGTTTAGGGTGGTAAAATGGTAATTTTTTAAAGAAAAACAGTCACAAAATCCCCCCAACGGCTAAATTAACGGCTAGTTTTTTAAACCCAGACCGATTTTTTTTCGGATAAAAACCAGTTTTTTAATCGATTTTTTTCAAACCGGTTTTTTATCCGATAAAAAAACCGATCTAGGTTTTTTTCTCCAAACCGGTTAAAATAACCGATTTAAAAAAATCCGATCCGGTTAAAAAAAACCGGTTTTTCCCAAATCCGGTTTCGGATATTTTTTTCGCAAAATCGGATATTCGGATTTTTTGTGCACCCCTAGTCCCGGCTAGGAGAAATGAGGTTCAGCTCCACGATTGCCTCAGTTTAGGTCTCATCTCTTATAAAAGTCCGGAAAGAAATCGATCTGCGCTTAGTAGAGGCATTAAAACCCTGCTTGGGGCTCATTGCATCACTTCCTTCGAGATGACCTTGATTAACAATGAGTGAAGCGGTGTCGTTATGATCGTTGAGAACAACACTTCTCCGAGCCTCCAAGTCATTAAGATTCCCGAGGGCTTGACAATCCACGACCGGGCAGTATACAAGAATTACAATACAAACCCCAACACAACATAGCATGACAAGGAAAGCTGAGAATGAAAGAGCTTCAAACAGAAATTGCCCTGGTTTAGATAAAACAGATAAGCCAGGTAAAAGAACCCTTAATGGAAGGAAAGTTGAAACCGAGAAAATTAATGTATAAACTCTCTTCTGCAAACCCTTGTTGATAACCAATTTCAAAATCTGCTTCCCGAGCCATAATAAATAGGCAGTCAAGACATTCGCAAAAAGCCCGAGAATAATATTATTCAATAAAGGGTAAGTGCAAAGAGTTATATCATCAAAATTTTGAATCACTGGGGTAGCTATTCTAGTGAAATACAGCGGTAACTTTATCCTAACATCTCGTAACTCAGGTCCCATCAAAACAAGAAATAGTTGAAGAACAAACATCGGGAGGCAAAAAAAGAGAACACATGTTGTTGTTTTACCGTTCCATTTTCGACTTAGGATTGCTACGTCTATATTCTGTAAAGGTACACGAAGAAGAAACACGAGAATGAGGAAGAGGCAAGGTTCTGCAAAACCTAAATTTGAAATGATGTAACATCTGCAGACTTTTTTTTGCCATTTTAAAACAAGTGCATTCAACACTCTTCCTTGCTTCCTCAGAAAATTTAGTCGTATAATTTCACCAAAACCCCACCAAATGGTGAACAAAACGAATGTGATTCCAATGATCCAGGGACCACTGAAGTAACTGAGCTGTATAAATCCTTGTCTAAGAACATGAGAACGCAAGTAAAATGTGTATCCGATGCACACCAAGCCAAGTAAAATGTGTATCTGATACACACTGAATGCTTCGGCAGAAATTCCAGTCAGGGGCATCACCCAAAACACAGATTCAACGCATGCTCTCTGCTAGCATGGACGCAAAGAATCCTCTGACGCATAAGCTACCTTCTGAGAATTATTTCTAGAAGCTATTACTGAACCACTACTGGATGATACAAAGATTAGCCACCTAAGATGATGAATAAGCAGCATTATCAACAGAACTCATGTATTTTCTTGCCAGTCCAACAAATCCACGCAAATCATGCTATTGAATTAAAACTAACAAATTTCATATGTAGTCAGTTGTTTCATCCACTAACCTTCAAGTTTTCCTTCAGACTTCAATTGTTTAATCTAAGAACCTGTGGAACAGGAATGGGGGACGTAAATTAACTTGTAACCTGGGTTTTCAAAGGCACGAGGCGCAGTCGAGCGACGAGAGGAGCGCCCGCCTAGGTCGGGGAGAAGGCGATGGTAGGCGCGCGCCTCCGAGTAAAGTGTCGAGCGCAGCGCCTGCACGCTTATGGAAGGTTTTTTCTTTTTAGAATTTAATATTTTAATAAATAATAATATAAGAAATAGAAGAAGAAAGATTTGCAGAAGAACGGCAGAAGAAAAACAGAAGAAAAGAAGAAGGCAGTAGAACGGCACAAACTCTCTCTCTCTCTTTCTCTCTCTTTTTCATTCCCTTAACCCTAGCAGCTAGCACATATTAAAACACATGTTCTATCAATAGTCCAACTTTAATATATTTTATTTATAACAAACCCAATAAAGCTTCTTTAGTTGTTTGGTTGCTTTTAATCAAAAGTAAAATATTTTCATAATATCTTTATGTTTTTCTTAATTAATTTATGTAATAATATATATATTTAATTTTAAAATAATAAAATATTAAATTAAATAATATTTACTAACAAAATTTATTAAATATAAAATTTAATCTTTATAATAATTTAGAGTAATATAAGATTTTAAATTGATAATAAAATTAATTTGTAATATTTAAAAATAAATAAAATAATTTAATATAAATTATTATTCCATGATGACCATATAATTGTCCTATATCCATGTTTTCTTATCAAAATCAAGATAACCTTAACTCTACGTTGAAATACTTTAGAAACTAGGGTAAATGAGTTTTGACAAGGAAAGGGTGTGAAGAGGAGATTAAGTGTTTTAGGAGTGAATTAGTGGGTAATGGGTGTGAATGTACTCTAGAATAAATTATTTAACTTATTAACATAAAAAGTGTGCCTAGCCTACGAAAGGGGCCTTGTGCCTAGGCTCCAAGGACTTTTTAGCCTCGATGCGCCTAGCGCCTTTAAAAACCAAGATGTAACCAAAAAATCTATCGAGTAAAAAACTACAACAAAAGAAAGATTGCAATATCATGCTGAGAAGTTTGATGAAATCCACCACATTCAAAAGCACACAATATTTCTTCCATAGAAGGAAAAGGTAAAAAAAACTGTTTCAGAATTTCCAGCTCAGAGAGATCTATCATAAAAACAAAGCAACTCATACAGACACGTATGGTCACAGAGCAAGTCAGTGAGACAGATGCACACTCATCTGATATATACGAAACATCCTCCAGAAAAGAACTTCAAAATGTGTTGGATGAAAGATGTATTAAGACCACTTATATAGCTCTCAAATTGTGAACAGATATGATCATATTAATGACATTACATGGCATACACATCATACATGTCAAGCTGAATTGTGCAGACTAATCCAAACTACCATATAAAAAACGTAATGCCAATTTCATTTATAAAAAGAACTTCAAAATGTGTTGGATGAAAGATGTATTAAGGCCCCTGATATAACCCTCTAAATGTGAACAGATATGAACATATTAATGACATTACATGGCATACACATCATACATGTCAAGCTGGACTGTGCAGACTAATCCAAACTACCATATAAAAAACGTAATGCTAGTTTCATTTATAGTTAGTACTTATTGCTACTTGCATCACTATTAATGTCTTTCTCATTAGGACGACGAATTCTTACGTGTCATCTTAATTAAACATTTGAGACAACCAGTGACAGAACAGACCATAACTGACCACATCAACGTGAGCAAAAGTAACGCATCACTATTAATGTCTAAGTAAGCAGGACAACAAATTCCAGCACGTCATCTTATTGATACATTTGAGACCACAATCAATGACAATACAGGCCACGGCCCCACGTGCTTCTGCATCAACATGCGCAAAAGGAAATGCATCGCTATTAACATGTACGTCAGTATGACAACGAATATTTGTGTGTCATCTTAATTAAACATTTGAGACACCACTAAATGGCAATAGAGACCATAAGATTCCATAAAAACACAACCGAAAGTAACGCAACATATAGACAAGACAAAATACAGATATTAGGTAAGAACTAAGACATTTACACCAAGAACTAGTGTAAGAAATACAAGTTTATACAATATTAGCAAATAAAAAGCTACACATCACATCATTTAGAGAAAAATACTAAAATCAATCCCTAACAAAATTTAACCCGACTGAAAAGAGATGCACTGTAATCATTTATGAAGCAAATGTTCAATCAATATTCCACATAGGTTATAAAAAAAAAAGGTTGCAAAAAACTTCAAAGGGAAAGATTAAAGTGATAATACCCAAACGCATGCCCTTGATTACAAAGAAGATGAAATATAGGTAGCCCTACCATATCTCACTAGACAATTAGCATACTAAGGACATTAAGCTTAATGTTCCTTCTTATAGAAAACATCCACCGTGACAAGACAGCAACTTAGTGAAAGAGAAATTCTTTCTTTATGCAATTAGCCCACTGGAACAAGTATGATTTTTTCTCTAAGCGTAACATAATTCTAAAGGATAAGTTGCAAAATCTGTACATTTCTTTCCTGTTCTTTCCCCGATGTTTGTCATCAACTACAAATTACTCAAACAAATCCCAAACTATTATATTTAACTAACAAACACTCCAAATCTAAGCATTTTCTCCCAATAACAAAATACACAAATTAACATCAAATCTTCAACATTCATTACCGTCAACAGTTCATGCAGTACAATTATTAAGGTAAAAGTAAAATAACCTAAAAATTCACACAAAAAATACACACATACTGTAACTTCAACAAAGCCATAACAAACTCCAAACAAAACCAAAATGAGTGAAATTAAGATCAATACGAAATGTACAATCTTAATCCGTCGAAGTCGGTAGACGAAATGCAGAATCGAACAGAAGGAGATCGAGGAAACCCTAAACTGGATGTCAAGTGAAAGCCCAAGATGCGGAGGGAGGAAGGAAGTTAGGGGAGTAGGTGAGTGGGAATTTGTTGGTGACAGGCTGTCTCCAGCTATGTTACTCGAGCCACTTGCTTCGAAATGAGATTAGGCTCGTGTGTTTCCCGTGCCTACGTGGCTTTTACCTGGGCAAACGCTTCAAGGCGATTTGCTTACCCTTGTTTTGATCTGGGTTAATTCAGTAAAACACACTCAAACTTTTAGATTATTTCTAAAATGGTCTCCGAATTTCAAACATTATAATTAAGTACTCACATTATCATAGTATCATATCAATCAAATATTTACCTTAGTGAAACCCTCATTTTCAATGTCGAAAGCAGGCTCAGATCAAATGTGATGCATATTCAAAATATTTTAATCAAAATTTTATATATTTGTGTACTTATTATATTGATAGTTTAAATATAACACGTCAAAAATCAAAGTATACATGTGATAGCTTTACATGTGTTTTAAGTATGTTTCATTCCATATCAAAATTAATGTTATATGCTTAAGTTGATGGAAGGATCTAATTGATATGATATTTATATTTTGAGGAGATTATTAAAGTATTTTGAAAGTTGTAGACCAATTTAAGATTTAGTTCATAACTTAGGTACGGAAAGCGAATTTACTTTATTAAATCTAGATTTCTTTTTCTTCTTTTTGGTATGTAATCTGAGAAAAATATTTAGATTTTATTTGTAAGAAGTGAGAAATTATTTACTTAATATGGAATATGAGAAACTCAATAATGTTGATTTTTTTTACTAACCTTGCATAAAGTAGCAATAATTACATTTCTTTTTCAAATTTATTGCATTCATTAGCATCTTTTAAATATTATGCGTGAGATTTAAAACATAGTATTATTATTTTTCGATACGAGATATTTAATTTATTGGTCAATTAATTTAGATAAAATGTGACTTAGTTCATTATAAAAATGATCCTTTTACATTAATTGGTTTCGTTTATTACGTTGAAATTTGAATTCATGACCTTACTTAAAATATATAAATTAAAAATTATTAGTAAGATTATATATTTGAATCATTAAATTAAAAATAGGATATAACATATATTAGATAATTTTTTGACATGATTAACATGTGACAACATTTTTAAAGATTAATTAAATGAAGATATTTATATAAAATTAAATTTAAACATAACTCCACCGTGCTGGGTTATTTTGATATTTGCCGTTTTTTTAAGAGAATATTTTATTTTTTAACCTTGGATTTAATATTTTTTGTGACACCCCAATTTAGGGGTTAAAAATTAAGAAATTATAAAGTATTGGATTTAATTGTTATTTTGGAAGGAAATGAGGATTAAATTGAAAATTTTCAAAGTTGATAGACCATTTTAGGAAGTGCAGGAAATTCAGTGGCTAAACTCATAGTTTAACCATTTTTATTTTGGAGAGAATTATAAACTCCCATTTCCCATATGTTTCTGCAGAATTTCCCATTTTTCCTTTCCCCTCAACCCTCATTTAAACTCCGATCTACTCATCGTTCGACCTTCGTTCGACGAACCGAAACCACCATCGTGTTCGTTGTAGACCGATGAACAAATCCACTCAAGCCTCTCGTCGTGAATCGGCGTCGTTTGTCGTTAATTTCAGTCGGAAGTATCATCGGTTTTAACACAATTTTCGTTGGTTTTCCGTCGATTCATGTCGATCCGGCTATACGTTTTTGACACCTCCCGCACCATCGTGTTCTTTGCATCGTTCTGAGTCTGTCGGTTTCCTCCGTGTCTCCGTTGTCGCTGGCGCGTGGAGGGGTGAGAAAGTCAAAGTTTCCAACGTTTCAGAATCGAGCTCTCCACCGTTCAAAATTGTGAATCGAGCTTGGTAAGTGTCTCAAAATGCCATAAAATAATTTTTAGAAATTTTTCGATTGTTCTGCACCGGTTAACATAAAAAAAACTCGGGTGCTAGTTTTGTAAATAGTTTTAAAATGATGCCTAATATGTAATTATTTTCTTTTAGGGTGATATTTGTGTAAAATAGTTGACCGTTGACCACTGTTGACCGTTGACCAAAACTTTAACTAGCGTTGACTGACCATTAAATGGTCGTTTACTTTGGCTGGTATACATATTCTGACATTTTTCGACATCCTGAGAGCGTTTTTGGGGTCCGTTTCGCCAAATTCAAACCCAGTAAGTTGTTTTTCACTGATTTATCATTCGATTCGATCTATTTTTCAGAATTAAGCCCTGTTTTTTATAAAATTTATATTGTTATGTATTTGAGGAATTATTAGAAGTTGAATTAAGGATCGAATGGAATTTAATGGTCGATCAATATTGCACGGAAATCGAGATAATACTTTACTACCTCTTTATGCTTTATGGAGCATGTGAATATTGGTAAATGCATGAATAAGATAATGTTGGTCTCATTTGTGTGGTTAATTAATTTCTACACTCGATTCGAATACGATAAAAATTTGATAACTGATTATGGTTCATATGACTTTTATAAGAAATTGAGGGATTGTTAGAATTAAAATTAGAAGTTCTGTGTTTAGTGATAAATGAATCCGCTTGGATCTGTAACATATAATTTATTTTCATTAAAGGTACTTGGATGGGAATTTATGAGAATACTCTGGTAGGGTAAAATTATAAAAATACCCTTATGTTGTAAGATGACAAGAATTGTCCCTGGAAGTTGGTTAATAACTCTGAAAAGGCATATTGATCTGATAAAAATACATATGTGTATAAGAAATGCTAGTTTTGCTTAGAAAATTTGGATATAACTGGTTTTTAACCCCAAGAGGGTTTATGCAAAATGCTAGAAGTCTGTTAAGGGAATCGTTTCAAGATCAGAGAATGTTCGGGAAAGCAATTAACCATAGGATCTCTAAATTATAATTATTTTCGTTTAGAGCTAATATCAAAATTATCTGGTTAAAAAATTACGAAAATACCCTAGAGAGGTAAAAATAGTCCGAGTTGACCCTGAATGAGAAAATATTTTGAGGATTCATACTTAACTCGATAAATTACGGATTTGATTGTTAAGATCCTGTCTTTGTGCAGAAAAATTCCTAATATCCCGTTTGTAAAATCTGAGAAGACACTTGACCCAAAAATATCTGAGTTATGAGTAAATACCTGAATAACAATTTATCGGGGTGTTCTTTTATCA